TTGCTTGTGGTACTGCTGCTTCAGCCTTAAGAAGAGATATATCTTAAAGGCACTATAGCACATGTGCATACAATACTTGTGATATTTTTGAAATTGGTAACTTCTCTTCAGAATTATTATTGGCTCTTGCTGATTTTCAGGTAAGATGTCAACAAATGGGAAAAATGTCAGAAGGAAAATGGGACTTCATTTTCCTATTAGAATGATGAAGGGGAACAAATAGATCAGTGAAATTTAAGAATCTGAGAAATAATTTCAAATTTCTCTCAGCTCAATAGAGAATGTCGCACAATGCTCTGAGCTACAGTAAAGGCTGGGAGGAGAAATTGAACTATCAAACACTTTAGATGAACTTGTATTCATGATTCAAAATGAAAAGTTAACCAGCCTTACACAACTGTTTTAAAGGCCAATCAACAGGTTTCGAGAGGCAGTGCGCATCTGGGGAAGGGAGGGCTTCCTTCCATCACAGTCTGGCTTCTACAGTCACCAGCTCTTCTTTGCCTAGAATCACTAATTTTAAAGTCTGGCACTTACCTGTGAAAGCCATATGAAAAATAATCCCCAGTGTATATGATTTCTATTTTTGCAACAACTCAACAACCGTCCTGGTTAGAGTCAAGACCATCAAGCAGTTAAAGGTAATTTTATTAGGACATCTTCTAGCAACTGTCTGAAAACTTATCTAAATTTTGCTTTTACTTGCTTGTCTGTTTCTCCCAAATAAGTTGGTGATAAGTAGCTTAAAGCCTAAGTTTTCTGGGGCCAGAGAGTACAGCAGGTAAGGAGCTTGCCTTCCAGATGGCTGACCCATGTTCTATCCCTGACATCTCACTCTGAGCACCTTGACTTGAGAGGGTGCCAGTAACATCTCCATTTGTCCCTGTCGCGTGCTAGTGTAGCCCAATGGCGTCTGTTCATTCTAGGAACACGAAGAGCCTCAAACCGATCATTCAGGTTCTTGATGAAGAAGTCTGACCATCTGGTAGGTGGGCAGCCACGCGGTCTTTTGACGTCCCGTGGAATCCAGTCGGTAATGACTCTAGTCCAGCGGTCATCTCTAAATCTCATTACGTGTCCAGCCCATCTGATTTTTGACGCCTTGGCAAACAAAACAGTATCCCTGATTCTTGATCATCAACAGAGGTCAGAACTCCGGATTCTTTTTCTCATTTGAGTGAAATGTGATACTCCAAGCATAGCTCTTTTGATTCCTCTTTGGGAGACCTGAATTAGCATTCTCATCCTGTTTGCATAGGGCCCAGGTCCCTGAGGCATATGTTAATGCAGGAAGAACAGTGGAATCAAAGAGATGTGCCTGGAGCCGAAGGGTCTTCATCCTCTTAGCTATTTCTTCGAAGCTCTTAAAGGTGTTCCAAGCCTCTCTCTTCCTCCTGCGGAACTCAGGTGCCAGGTCATTCATCATGTTGACTTCTCGATCCTAGGTACACATAACTTTTGCATTCAGAGATGGTCATTCCATTGAGAGTTAATGGAGCTTCAGGATTGAGGCTGTTTCTCATAAACATTGTCTTTGTAAGATTCAGCTGTAGTCCAACCTTTCCACACTCACGGTCAAAGTTGGCCAGCATTTGTGCCACTTGACTAATGTTTGGTGTTATTAGAACAGTGTCATTAGCAAAGCGGAGGTGATGTAGTTGCCGATCATCTATCTTCACTCCCATTCCTTCCCATTCCAGTCATCACATGATGTTCTCAAGGGTGGCACTGAAGAGTTTCGGTGAAATGGTATCATCCTGCCGAACCCCTCTCTTGACATCAAAGATTACTTCTTTGTAGAATGGTGAGATCTTGGTAGTGAATCCGTAATACAGCTCACGAAGGATCCTGATGTATTGAGTTTGAATGCCCTGATTGGCTAGGGCTTCAGTGACTGCTTCCATCTCAACAGAATCAAAGGCCTTCTTTAAATCAATGAACGTTAGACAGAGCAGCATCTTGAACTCCCAAGAAACCTCAATGAGCTTGGTTATCATGTGAATATGGTCTATGGTGCTGAATCCTTTGTGGAACTTGGCTTGCTCACATGGTTGTCCTTCATCTAGTGTTTTGCCAATCCTATTCAGGATGACTCGAGTGAACAGCTTGTACATGACAGAGAATAGGCAGTTTGGGTGATAGTTGCCAATGTTGTGGCTGTCTCCCTTCTTGTACAGTAGTACAGTCCTGCTGATTTTCCCTGGGATGGAACGTTGCATTGAGACACGTAGCATGTGAAGAGCTGAGCCAGCATATTGATGAGTGCTGATGGCAGGTTCTTCAGGTGTTCAGGTCTGACCTTGTCTGGGCTGGGTGCTGTTCGTTTCTTAACCCACGGAATGGCATGTCGGATTTTGGAAGGGAGAACATTGGGAACGACATATCAATCCTGTGGAATTTGGTATGTGGGCAGGTGGACATGGCTATCCAAGAGATCTGTGTAGAAGTCATGGATAATCTTCTCCACTGCCTTTCTGGAAGATGTGATGGATCCATCAGGATGTCGGAGAGAAGTCATCTTGGTCTTGTAGTTGGCGAAGGACAGGTGGGCATTACGAATGCTTTTCCCGGCTTCTGCTGCATCTACCAGCACTTCTGTTCTTCTCTCTTTGAGGTCTTCCTTGATCGCATCTCTGCACTGCTTTGCGAGCTTGGACGTTAGCTTGCGGTTGCCTGAGGCATATGCCAAACCATGTTGGTGAATAAGCTCAAAAGTTTTCGAAGACAGGCATTTTTTTGTGACTATCTCCCTCTTGGCATTCCTCGCACAATCACGGAGGTGCTGAACCAGTCGATCGCATTCCTCGTCAGTGTTGTCAACAACGGCATCTTCCCATGTTGCAGCCATAGTGCCAAAGAGCTCCCAGTTGGTGGTTGTTTTGGGAGTTCTCTTCTTAAACTTTGCAGCCTTTTCTCCCCGCTCTGTGAAGTAGAATTTTGCACGAAGGAGACGGTGGTCCGATCCCATTTGGGATTTTGGGACAACAGCAAGCACCATCAGGAATAATTCCTGAGTGTTAATTCAGGGGTCACCCCTGAGCACTACCAGGTGTGGCACCAAAGCCTACGTTTTTCTATTAATTTTGGTTAATAGGTAAAATACATGTAATCAATTTTGTCTTTTTAGTATCATGATGAAATAATTTTATAATAGATTTTTTAGTGCATTTGTTAATTTGTTCCAAATAACTTTAATAAACTATCTCAGTGATGTTGAGTTTTTTCTTACTTTATTAATAAAGTCTTTTAAATATGTACACCCCCATTTCTCAATATTTGTAAATTATATACTATCTTTAATTAACATACAATAATCTATACTATACTGCCTGCACTGTCCTCCCGTTTTTCATCGATTTGCTCGAGCGGACCCAGTAACATCTCCATCATGAGACTTGTTACTGTTTTTGGAATATTGAATATGTCACAGGTAGCTTGCCAGGCTTTGGCCATGTGGGCGAGATACTCTCAGTAGCTTGCTGGGCTCTCTGAGAAGGGCGGAGGAATTGAACCGGGCTCGGCCAGGCCAGATGCGCACAAAGCATACACCCTACCACTGTGCTATCACTCCTGTACAATATAATAATCAGAAGTCCAGTTATCCAGAGACAAAAACATATTAATGTAATGTTTCTTTGTACATATAAAATACATTGACTGCTTTTTTCCATTTTTGAACAAAATTGATTGTCTAAATTAGATCATCATGACTTCAATGTCATACTGTGGCTGATAAAAGGCTCAAACAAGGAGATAGCTTGTGCCCCCATTTTCTGGTGGATTCCTTGTCACTTTATCATCAATATTATATGTATTTTGTGGTTTATTAGTCAGAATCTTCTTAAGTTTCCTGCCCATTGGTGAGTATTTATTTGACTAAAACAAATTTTATATATTCATAGATCTTCTAACCAGGTGCCTGTAACCTGCAGAAGTAACACACACTTATGATCTGTGAATCTCCTCATTCCCCTCATACTTTATGTATTCATCTGACAAATGACATGAGAAGATGGTTCATGGAAAAATACACATTAAATATTATTAAAATTATTTAAAAATTTCCAATGTTTTTTCCTTATGCAAATCCAAAGACTGAGATATATATCCCCAAAGGTATGTGTAAACCCCTCTTATAGCTCTGTACTGGATCTGAAAATTGGAGAAACTTGGAGACCTGTATTCTGTAGAAAGATTAGTTGAAGTTACAAAAGGTAGTCTATACTGTGACTGAATTTCTGACATGAAAGTACATTCCAAAAGCAACTTGTGATACATCAGAATGTTAAAGTCTAGCTTTATCTTCATCATAAATTTTATGGCATCCTGTAAGCATTCTGTCTTCTATAATGTGAGCTTTTTTTCCCTCTGCTTGATGTTGAGGTATTGTTATTTCTAATACTGTTAGAGATTGTTTTATGCATATGTCATGTCAAAGCTACACCTGCCACTGGTGTATTAACTTCCTTCCACCAAGGTCCTAATGGCCCTTCTATTTCACCACCTCCTCGCCATAAACTCAGTTCTGTTCACAAAATTTCAAAAGCTCTGTTCTGATCATTTGTTATGCATCTTTAAATCATATGAGAGAGAGCATTCTATATCCACTCCTTTTCTTCTGACTCATTTCACTCAGCATGATTTTCTCCACGTCCATCGATGTAGTGGAAAAACACATGACTTTGCTCTTTGTTAATTATTTATACATATATGACAACTTTTCTATGAACTAATTTGTATTTGGACATTTGAGTTGTTTTCATTCCTTGGTTATTGTGCTAAGTGCTGCAAAGAATAAAGGAATATATATCCTTTTGAATTAAAGTCTTTGTGTCTGGGGTAGATGTCCAGTAGTGCTGTTACAATGTGATGTAGGAGGTCTATTCCTATTTTTTGAAGATCTCCATATTTATTTCTATTGAGGTTGAACCAACAGTGAATAAGAGTTCCTTTATCACTACAATTCTACCAACACTTGTTATTTCCAGATTTTTTTTATGATTAAAACCAGTTATTTTATAGAGGGAGAGAAGTGACTCCAGTGTTCCCTGGTGGAGGGAAACGGGCGAAGCGGGAAGTCAAGTTTGCTGGAGAGAACTAAAGGCTCTGCCCACACTGTCAGAATCCAGGCTTTTCCGGATCTTTCCATGGCATGTGTCTACAGATCGGCAAAGGGTGCTGGAGACCAAATGGGGGGATTCTTTCAGCTGCCAACCAAGAGGCTTTAGGTCTTCTCTCAGCCAAGGCATCCAGTGAAAACACAATTTATTTTTCAGACTCCTCGGAAGAATTAAACAGTCTCTTTCGCATTGCATTACCATGCTCCCTGCTCTTGATCCTCTTTTCCATGTAATTTTTGTGACATTCCTTAAGCAAGTTTATCAAGATGTTGCACTCTTCAGTGTGCAAGTGTGGAGACAAGTCGGGATGCATCCTTAGGAGGAGGTGACGGAGCCCAGCAGAACCACCTGGACGCCAGCACCGCCAGGCACCTGCTGCCGAGCCAGGACGGTGCACTCGGTCTTTCCAGATTTTTTGATATAAGTATTTTTATTGGTATGAGACAATATCTCGTTGCTGTTTCTATTTGAATTTTCCTAATTGTAAGTGATGATGATACCACTTTTTTTGTATGTCTATTATTACCCATATGTCTTCTTTAAGGAAGTTTCTGCTCATTTTCCCACCCCCCCCATTTTTGGATGGGGTAATTGAGTTTTTTACTGTTGAATTTTATGAGTGCTTTATGGGCCCTAGATATCAGTCCTTTATCTATTACATTTATGTACAAGTATTTTCTCCTAGACAGTTAGATGTCTTTATTTTAGCTTGCCCACAGGGCAGAGTCTGGCAAACTCCCCGTGGCGCACCAAATATGACAAATACCAGTAACAATGATGGGTCTCATTCTCCTAAAAAGCCTTGAATATAATCTCAGGGCTAGGATGAAAGAGACGTTACTGGGGCCTGCTCGAGGCAATCGACGATTAACAGGATGATGAATGAATGAATGAATGAATTTTAGCTTGAGCTTCTTTTGCTGTGCAGAAACTATTTAATTTCATGTAATCATATTTGTTTATTTTTATTTTTGCCATCATTTTTTTCTGTGGTCGGGCTGGAGTGATAGCACAGTGGGTAGGGTGTTTGCCTTGCAAGCGGCCAACATGGCTGACCCAAGTTCTATTCCTCCGCCCCTCTCGGAGAGCCCGGCAAACTACCAAGAGTATCTCGCCTGCACGGCAAAGCCTGGCAAGCTACCCATGACATATTTGATATGCCAAACACAGTAACAACAGGTCTCAAAATGGAGATGTTACTGGGCCCGCTCAAGCAAATCAATGAACAATGGGAGGACAGTGACAGTGACAGTGACAGTGACAGTTTTTTCTGTTGTCAGTTTATTGAAGATGCCTCTGAGGTTCTAGCTATGTTTTATTCAATGTCTGTTATGGATTCTGTTTTTTTTTTCAGAGTTTTTAATCTACTTTGAATTTACTTTTTTGAATAATGTGAGATATGAGATTCTAATTTCGTTTTTCACACATGGTTATCCTGTTTTATCAACACTACTTGTGGAAGAGTTGGTTTTTAATTTAATGATAAGTGTTTTATGCATGACAACCAAATTTAGTGAACAGCATATAATGATAATTTCTATTGAATGACTACCTTTAATTTAGCTTAGTGCTTTTATTTCTTTAAAATATCGTGCTACTTTGCTTAATAATCTTTATTGTATATGGACATATTTGCTATATTACTGATCATCTTGCAACTATTTTTGTCAGTCATCAGATTATCCACCAGTTCCCTATAAACAGGTCTAAATCTCAGGTATCTTTATACTCCATTCACAACACAGAAAATTCTGGGCATACAGTGAATATGAATAATTAGATAAATCTTAAAATTAATAAGTGAAAACTTTGCCATACGTGGGAGAGTTTATCCATATGTATCTGCAGAGTTTAAATTCTCTTTTTTCTAAAAAAAATACTTTCTATTAGTTTCCAATATCCCAAACCAGTAAATATTACATAGTTTTGTATAGCATTCCATTTTCTAAATATGCCACATCTTCATTAATTCATTTTTTGGTCATTGGACACTTAAGTTAATTCTACTTCCTAAGTGTTGAATGAATAATGGTGTGCTTATGTCCTTTGAAAAGAATGTTTTTGTATTCTGGGTGTAGGTACCAAGAAGTAGAATTGATGAGTCATATGGTAGCACTACCTTGATTTTCTGAGAAATATCCATACTGTTTTCCATAGGGATTGAGCCAGACAGTATTCCCACCAGCAGTGGAGAAGAGTTTCTTTTTATGAAATCCCTGTTTAAACAGACCATAGCCATTATTTTTTTGATATGTGCCATTCCCACTGATGTGAGATGATTTTCCAGAGTCATCTGAATTTGAATTTCTCTGATAATAAGTGAGGATGAGCACTTTTTTTAAATGATCACTGGCTATATATCTGCATTCTCCAGAGAAATGTCTGTTCACTCATTTCCTTTCCCCATTTTTATAGGATTTTGGGGGTTTTTTTGGCTATTGTTGAATTTTGAGAGTATTTTGTTTATATCTAGATATAACCGTTTAATCTGATGTATTGAGTGAAAATATATTCTTCCATTAATTTGGATGTCTTTTGTTTTTAGGCCATGTTTTGTTTGCCATGTGGAAACTCTTTAATTTGATGTAGTCCCATTTATTTTTGTTACTGTCTCTTTTGCTAATGAGATCATATCATTGGAAACACCGTGAGGTCCAAATCTTGGAGTGTTCTACCTATAATTTTTTCTTTAGGTATTTTATCTACTTTGAACTGAATGTTGTGTAAACTGTGAGATATGAATCCAACAACATTGTTTTACATTTAGTTTGCCAGTATACTATTTGTTAAAGATGCTATCTTTACTTTATGTATCTCAAAACTAGCTAAGCATAGATTTGGAGATTTTTCTTGGGTATTTGATTGTACCCCATTGGTCAGTGAATCTATCCTTATTCCATCACCATGATGTTTTGATCACTATTGCTTCACAGTATAATTTCAGTTAAAGTAATGAGATACCTCCCAATTTCTTATTTTATCCCAAATAGCTTTGGATACACACAAACTTTATTACTGACCATTCTAAGTCCTTGAAGACGGATACCTGAATTTGGATAAGGATTGTAGCTGAATTTGAAGCAGATAGGCAGGTAGACATAGAAGTGTCAACCTCCCTTCAAATTCCCCATAGCAATGGGATTTTGGGAAGTTATAAGGCCATTAGCCCTAAGACTGCAAAGAAAGCCCACCTGTGAGCACAGGAACTAAGGCCTGATGGGACAATTATCTGGTGCCACTGTGGAAGGGTGGACTCACTACAGAGAGAACAAACTTTTTAGCATATACAGAAGACTCTGATAAGGACATGAAAGAAGATCATCAAAAAGTTCAAAGCTCTTCCTTTATGACAATACCTGATGAACTCTTTCATCCTCAACTTCAGGCCAACACAACTGAAGTTTTCTGAGGATGAGAGAAAATAGTCTTTAGGACTCAACATTCTATCTTTGGATAAGTCCATGTTCTGTTTTGAACACATCTCTCTCTCTCTCTCTCTCTCTCTCTCTCTCTCTATTTTTCTCAAGGTAATTTATCTACATTGAATAGGATTGTATGAATTAAATGGATTTTTTTCTCTTTCTCCCTCCCTTTCTCAAAATTTCTAAATTAAAACCTGTTTTCACCTGACTGCTTGTCTCTTCCTGAAATTGTTTTCTGAGAGAAAGGGAAGACCTAGAAGGACTGGGTAAGGTCTAGGATTTTCTGCAAAGAGCAATTATTCACTTCACCCTAAGTTCACAGCTCCCTCAGAAATTCCCAAATTGATCAATGTGGGGATCAACTCCCATGCCACACTAAACAAGTGGACATCAAGTATGTTTTGGTGGTTACCTAGTAGGGCTGGCACTTATAAGGTCATGCCATGTAAGGGTTCATCACAAACTTTATCAGTTCTAGATCTACAGCTTTTCTTGGGGTGGCAGAGGTAGATTTGAAGAAGCTTCAGATCCCTTTCTTGAGGCCACTGCTTTGCTCTTTCTCACTTCACATAAGTCCCCCAGGGACCTCTACCAGAATCAAATCTATATAATATCGAGGCAAAGTGGTCATTTTGAAAATTTTATTTATTCTTGCAATCCAGTAACATGCAATCTTTCATCTTCTAAGGTCTTTTTCAATATATTTTCAATAAACATAGTTTTTATGGTAAAGATTAATCACCTCTTTTTATTAAGTTGATTTCAAGGCACTTGATGATTTTGGACATTATTATTTCGATTCTTTTTTGTGTACTCCTTGGTGTCTACTATATACAGTCACACATATGTCTGCAAGTAGTGATAATTTGACTTATTTTCCAATTTTGATCCCTTTTATTTCTTTGTCTTGCCTGATTGCTATTGCTACAACTTCTAATGCTGTGTTGAATAAGAGTGTAGACAGTAGACATCTTGTCTTGTGTCTGATCTCAGAGGGAATACTTTCAGTTTTTCACCATTGAAAATTACATGGGCTGTGGGTTTGTATGAATTATAAATGGATATTACTATCTTGAGGAGGGTTCCTTCCATACCTATTTTTTGAGGGCTTTTATTTTTTTTTATAATGAATGGATGTTTGAGCATGTTGAAAGGTTTTACTTTATTGAGTTGTTGAAAATATGAATTTTGTCTTATTTATGTTTTTATTATGTTAATTTGCTTTCATATATTGCATTTCTAGAAAAATTCCACTTGGTCATGATATATGATTCTTTTGATATGCTGTTGGATTCAGTTTGCTGAGATTTCCTTGTCAGAGAACTTGGTCTGAAAAGAAGCTTGTCAGGGAATTTAGCTGTAAGGAATAATTCCCATTTCATCAATATTTTGGATGATCTTGAGGAGTATAGGTAGTAAGTCTTCTTTGAAGATTTGCTAGAACTTGCCATCTGGACCAAGGGTTTTGTTCATATGGAGATTATTAAGTATTGCTTCAATTTCTTTGCTTGTGGTTGGCCCATTCAGGTTTACTACTCCCTCCTTACTCAATTTTGGGAGATAGCATGATTCTGAAAATCTGTCAATGCTCTCCAACTTTACAGTATAAAACTATTGATAGTAACCTCTCATAATATCTTGAATTGTTGAGGTATGTGTTGTAATTCTCTTCTTCTGTCTCTAAATCATACAACAATTTCTTAGTTGAGCCATCTCTCTGGATACTGATTTATTTCCAGATATCAGGTATTGTAAATAGTGCTGAAATGAATAGAGGAGCACAGATATCTTTCCACAAAAGTATTTTTGGGTTCATGGGTTGATGCCAGAAAATGAAATTATTGCATCATATGGAATCTCAGTTCTCAATTATGGAAAAATAAAGTTCTGCAAATAGTCAAAAAATCCTAAAAAGGGGGAATAGGAAGTTTTCCC